TGGGCTGATCTTTTATGACATTGTGAGCCCGAGAGACTGGAGAGATTGATGACTAAGTGAGGCCGAGATCCTGATTATGAGGATATTGATGGGATCGGGCTTCACTTCGCAATAGTTATTATTGATTCATGCCATGATTGGCTTATTATAGCGCTTGGACTGAAGGAGCTCCTCCGAAGTCTGTACACACTCCCAGTGAGCGCAGGTACCTACTGAGTGCAAGTGCCGAGTGATTGGAAAGATTGAGTGACTGTGAGGACTGAGTGACTGGAAGGACTCAGTGAATTGATACCCTCAGAGTATGCATATGGTTTTATCACTGAGTTGTATCGCATTCGACATGCACACTTGACATACAGGCCTAGAGATGCATTTTCCTCATGATGTACGGTATCACGTCATTCATGACTTTTCATACATATTGACTTGTAGGCATAAAGATGTATTTTCCTCATGCCATTTGAAAATGAAACATTTACCTGTTGAAAGATTTGGAAAAAATTATAGTTTTCAAACTTACTCATACTTTTGGTATTTTCGGTGAAAGATTTGGGATTTACTGTTATACTTGAAAAGCATGCCTATTTTTCCGTAACTGTGAATGAGTCGAGCATCATATCTCTAAGTTACTTCGTGTACCATTTTTACTATATTGTTATGCACTGTTGCTGGTTATTAGAGTTGGACTCTGACCCTTGTCCCAGCTCGTCACTACTTTCAACCTAAGGTTAGGTTTGTTACTTATTGAGTACATGGGGTCGGTTGTGCTCATACTACACTTCTGCACTTTGCGTGCAGACTTGGATGCTGACGTTGTTGTGTATGACGGGAGCTAGCTTTGAAGACGTACATGTGTTCCGCTAATAGCTTCCTCTTGTTCATGATAACTCTAGACTTATGAAAAATCTATTAATGTATAATTTGGACAGATGATGTATTTATTTTACATTAACTTTTTAAACTCTAAATCTTAGAAGCTCATGATTTGTACTACCAATCCTTGAGAAATTTATAAGATTCAAATATTTTCTTTTATTTATTTGTCTCATTAAATTTCATTGGAATTGGTTTATTGTCAATTGGCTTACCTAGCGGGTTGGGTTAGGTGTCATCACGACCAGTTGGATTTTGGGTCATGACAATAATTTCAATAAATTCAAAATTATAATTTAATTAAAAAAATAAGGGTATTTAAATTATAAGTAAAATATTAAATGAAAAAAATAATCAAATACAGCAGTAGAAGAAATATATGAAAAGAGGAAATAAATAAAATGTTAGGATATTTATAATTTTAATTAATTAGAAAAAAATAATTTAAATAATATCACTCAAAAAATTTATTGATAAATTTAGAAAATTGAAGAATTTTGAATAGTAGACAAAAAATTGATATTATTCCGATGAATTGTGTGTCAAGTGTCATCACTATAACATGTCAAGTTTAAATTTTTAAGATAAAACTACAACAAAATTATTTTAAAATAGAAGATAAAAAATTAAAATTAAGAAATTAAACCTGCCAATTTTAAAAAATTGATACTTTCTCCCACGTTTGTTTGGTATTTTTTGATTTATTTATTAAACCTTCCAATGCAAAAAGAAATTAATATTTTCTCCCACATTTTTTTGTGCTACAGTTTGTAATTTATTTCTATACTTAATATTTTTCTTACACATAAATAAGAAATAGGGGGGGGGGGGGGAAACCC